TAATAATTCAGCTACAATATCACAGTGTCATTGAATAATGATTGGAATTTTTTTAACCTATATATATAGTGAGTGAGTTTATTTAATATTATTAGGTTTAAATTAATAAGTATTCTACAATCTATGATTTATTATATGCACTACTAATATAAATATATTGAAAACCGTATATATAATTGTTTATGTCGTATCATATGAATTTATATTTATATTATCAATTTATCTAATATAATCTATAATATGTAGTTGTTTTTATAAACAAATTATGTTAATTCATCTATATTTAAAATGAAAAAAATTATATTTAAAATGTTTAATTTTTTGTTTAGGAACATAGATTACATTAGGTAATTATAATATTAGTTTCCTATGAGTGACACAAAAATCATCAACCAATGAAATTATAATATTTAATTGAAGAAATCTCCTATGAGTGACACGTCGGTGTTAGTCACTTAAATCACTTCTCAATTAATATAGAGGAGAATTTATTTTCTTGCAGTGCATGCTTTGCTTCAGTTTTGTTTTACATCATGAAGATATCATCAATCTTGGACATATATGTATGATACTAGGTGTTTTACTGCATTATGTGTAGACATAAAAGTTTTAAGATTTAAATCTTATTGAAAAAAAAATTGTTCTTTTTTAAATTTGGTTTAGTTGCTTACAAATATTTTATTTTAAAATTTAATTTAATTATATGTAAAAAATAATAAAATAAATTTTTTTCCTTAAATTTAATTATATATATATATATGTATATATTTAAAATTATAATCTTGGAATTATTTATCTATTGATTTTGGTTAAAATATATTAAATCAAATTCTAAATAATGTTTCTAAAATTTGTAAATATTAAAAAGAAAATAACTGTAATTGGATTGAAATTACAATTTCTTATAAAAAATGCATAAATTTTGCAAGATTGGTTTTAATAATAAAAATTATAAAATGTTAAAAACGGAATTGAATAATCTTTCAAAAATTGTAAGATACATATTCTATTCTACTATATATATTATTTGTTATTATATTAATACTGATTTATGAGCTATTAATTACCAGATTTGAAAAATTTATCGAAAATATAGAACAACAATTAAAGTTAATGTCTATGTCACAATTAGCTTTAAGACATGTCATCGTTAGTATGTCATGTCTAATCACTTCTAAAATAATGTCTAGTAAATATGATGATTTAAAACTTGGGAAAACTGATAGACCTTTTTCAATATCATCTAAGGATCAAAAATGAGTAAACTCAATGTTTACGAAAATGAGTAAACTCAATACTGTCGCCTGGAGAGGCTCTCGTCAGCCTCCTCTGATCTTTGTTTCTTTCTTTTTATGATGATTTGGTGTTTTCTGGCTTTAGGGGGTGAACGTGCATTGTTTCTCTGTCCTATTTCTGCTGCTACTCCGGTCTAATAAAGGTTGTTGTGGAGTAGCACGATTAGAGCGATTTGGTTGAATGTTCTTGCCTTGGTCATGAACTTCTCTCCTATGATGATGGAGGTTCCGGATCTTTCGTTCGACAGAGTGGCTATCCTGCTTGTCCACTTGATATTGTATATCCAGTTTCGATATCTTGGTTTATCGGCCGTGTTTGGTGTGTCGTATGCGCATTGAAGCTTTGATTTTGTTTTGTTTCTCTGAGTGTTTTGGTTGTTTATCTGTCAGGCATCGAGCAGATCTTGCGGCGTGGAAGATAAGATGTTTATGCAGCTTAAAGATTGTGTTCTTCTTTGGCCTTCGTATGTGTCTCCCCTCGAGCAGATGGTGATGTTTCGATCCTAAGCCATGCTGCTTCTCGCATGATGCAAAGGCCGTGTTTGAGTCCATTCATGGTGGTTTCGAAGTTAGAAGTGTTGATTGTTTTTGATTAACTTCTTTGTGACAAACCTTTAAAAGCTGAGTTCTTTTCAAATCACTAATGTGAATAAAAAAGAGAGTCAAGAAGTTTAAAAGGTTTGAGTTTATGGTGTAGCAAGAAACGAGAAGACATCAATTTGTGAGATTGTCCAATGTTCTCTTGGCAAGTGAGACGGTGTAAAATTTCAATCCTTGATTTTTGCAGAAGCACTAGCTTCTTCTCCAGCCTTCTGTAAGAACGCGCACCTTCATTTGACTATTGTTTTCATTGTGTGAGTAGTGTGTTTATGTTTCCTTGATTCATATAGCTTATGTGTCACTGTATATCCATCTTATCTTATGACATACCTATTGGTATAGTTTTATGCTTTGATTTCTTTTGTAATACTTTGAATTTTTTTTGTCTATGTAACTCAATAAGAAACACAGCGTTAAAAAATATTCTATAAAATAAAACTCAGTAAATTAATACATTATAAGATAATCTTTTTTTTTAGTTTCAGGGTAGGTCAGTGCAATATATGATATTGTTCCATAGATATTAAGATAATAAATTGTTGAAAAATCTTAGTAAGTAAATGATTTCAGTATAAACATAAATACTAATTATGTCTATTTAGATAAATATAATATAAATAAAATACTATATTTTTTATTCACAGTGAAAACCATTTTAATATTTTAAACCTTTCAAAATATTCTCATGTTATCCGCAAGTTGTTTTCTAAAAGCAAATAAAATGCCTTTTCTCAATAAAGTGAGATCTAATTTTGTATATAATTTACAAATTTTAAAATTTAATACACGTACATCTTTAATTATATATATATATATATATATATATATATATTCTAATGAGTTTAGCACGTATTAGAATACTTCTGATTTTTAATTAATAGCCTATTTTATTAGAAAAATATCATTAGTAAAGTATCTAACTAAGTAACATTGATTGTGCTAAAAATTATTGATGTTTTGAGGTGATACGAATTTTGTCAAATCTGGTCTATAGCTTCATGTTATATAATTCATTTACTTTAAAAACTTTATAAAGTAATAATAAATTAATTAATAAACACAACAAAATTAATAAATTTATCTCGTCCCAAGTTGAGCCGATTCAAAATATAACATATATTGATAAAATAATAAGATAACTATTTTTTTAAAAAAAATGATCTTCTGTCACTATATTGTCTCATTCAAATTATAAATTAATAATTTGTATATATATATATATATATATATATATTTAAGTTTTAACAAACTTTGATATTGTTCATTTTATATTCACCATGAATCTATCCTTATATTTTCTTAGCACTTAATATATTTTGATAAGATATAATAAAATTTTATCTAAAATACATGTAAATTCTATGAAACATATTTTATATACATATATAATATAATAAAAATAATATTAATGCCGAATTTCAAAATTTTAATTAATGTATATATATTAAAAATCAAATGTTTTTCTAATTCTAGAAAAAAGTATATTTTAAATAGGAAAAATCTAAAAAAAAGTTGTAATTAATAAATCTCAACAATAATAGTTTGTGGAGTTTTTACTGTAAGTGTTTTTTAGTCATTTGAATCCTTAGAAGTTATTTTTGTGACGAAACTTTTTAATGATAAGTGTTTCTCCATTTCCCTTTTCTCTTTTCAGAAGTCAATAAACCAGATACAAAATTTTCTTGGTATAGCATTTATGTTTTCAACAATCAGTATATAGCTTAGTGCATCTACAGGTTTATTGTTATTGTAACAAAAAAGTCCGAAGGATCAAGGCAAATAAAAAAATAAAAAAATTATTTCCTCACTTGATAAGTGAATGAGCTTGCTGACAGATCTGACTAACAAAGAATAGTATATTAAGTTGCATCGGATACCACTATGGAGACAAACTAGAGAGGGATCTTGCTCTCAAACTAGTTGTACTTGTAATATGAAAGCATAGAGAAGGACGTCTTTCCAAATTTAATCCTTAACCGCAATCACAATATACAGCCTAATTTAAGTTAAACGTTTACACTAACTTAAGTTCCATACAAGTCTGATAATCTATACAAATATGGAACTACGTACACTTGGAGAATCTCTGCAACATGCAGCTGAAGACGCTCGCTGTGTGTGTAAGAAAGATCGATTGTGTTAACAGCGTCATTTTACCTAGACGAAGCAAAACCTGCACGCAGTGACACATATGATACAAACTGTTACGGGCTTACGGCTTTCCTGCAATGAATCTGGAATATCGATTTTATTTTTGGTTCCTAGATTTCCTCAGTCGGCAGAAAAATCTAAACAAATGATGAATAATTGTATATCAAATGCGAGATGTCAAACAAATTTTCTAATATTTAGTTTTGTCAATATTTTGGTTAACCGTAACCAACAAGACTGACGAGTGCTATATTACAGTCAGACTATATATGTAACTCCCATCAAAACAATATTAATATCAGAATGACATAAACCATTGAAGCCTATATGTTATGTAACATTAACTTTGTTTTTATTCCAGCTAAATATATTACAAGTTTGTCCTTGATTATAACTATTGGCATATATATTCTAGGGATTCAAAGTCTCTAAAGAAAGCAAAAAAAACTCAAAGGGGAGAAACAATGCTGTTAAAAATCATGTACGAGAAATCAACTCATCATTTAAAAATCAATAAAGTGAAAGAGAAGGCGTTACCAAACCTGATAGTAACGTACAAGCAACTAAGTATCCAGCTAGTTCCAGGCATCTCCACACTAAAAACCAAAGACTTAAAGCTGCCATTAAGTGAGTGATCTGCTTAATATAGCAAGACAAATATATAATTACATAATCAGAAACGGTTTTAAAGCAAAATTTTCGCGACACATGTACGGCATTAGAAATGAGATACTACACGAGTTTCAAAATGGACAAAGTAATTTAAGGTTCTCTTGACACGAACCATAACCGTTCTTGCCGTAGTAGAGAGTAAGTCTTTGAATTCACCGTAAATTCTGTAGAAACAAGCTTGCACGACAAGACCCACCGTTTCACAAAGCTTTTCTCACATCCTCAAGTATTTAAACTCCAGAATGAGCCTCTACCCTTTGCTCACAATAAGTCACTTACAAGATGAGAGTCCCACTAATAAATATCTCGAGATTCTTTGTCATCCTTCTTTCTCTCAGTGGTTCTTTAGCCGCTACAGAAGTAGAAACAGTGAATCAAAACTTTAGTAGGTATGAAACTGATAATTATGGTTACACACCTCCGTCACCAACTTATGGAGCTCCACCCAGCCAACCAACACCACCAATTTACAGTCCTCCCATCAACCCACCACCGGTGCAAAAACCTCCAACACCAACATACAGTCCCCCAGTTATACCACCACCAGTGCAAAAACCTCCGACACCAACATACAGTCCTCCAGTTGTGCCACCTCCAATACAAAAGCCACCAACACCGACATACAGTCCTCCAGTAAAGCCACCTCCCATTCAGAAACCACCGACACCAATTTATAGTCCACCCGTTAAACCACCACCTGTGCAAAAGCCTCCGACGCCAACTTATAGTCCACCAGTTAAACCTCCTCCGGTAAAGCCTCCAACACCTACTTATAGTCCTCCAATAAAACCACCACCAGTACAGCAACCTCCGACACCAACCTATAGTCCACCTGTAAAACCACCTCCAGTAAAACCTCCAACACCAACTTACAGTCCACCTGTTAAACCACCACCTGTGCAAAAGCCTCCGACACCAACCTATAGTCCACCAATTAAATCACCACCAGTGCAGAAGCCTCCAACACCAACTTACAGTCCACCAGTTAAACCTCCTCCGGTGAAGCCTCCAACACCTACTTATAGTCCTCCGATAAAACCACCACCAGTACAACAACCTCCGACACCAACCTATAGTCCACCTGTAAAACCACCTCCAGTAAAACCTCCAACACCAACTTACAGTCCACCTGTTAAACCACCACCTGTGCAAAAGCCTCCGACACCAACCTATAGTCCACCAATTAAACCACCACCAGTACAGAAGCCTCCAACACCAACTTACAGTCCACCAGTTAAACCTCCTCCGGTGAAGCCTCCAACACCTACTTATAGTCCTCCGATAAAACCACCACCAGTACAACAACCTCCGACGCCAACCTATAGTCCTCCTATAAAACCACCTCCAGTGAAACCTCCAACACCAACTTACAGTCCGCCTGTTAAACCACCACCTGTGCAAAAGCCTCCGACGCCAACCTATAGTCCACCAGTTAAACCACCCCCCGTGCAAAAGCCTCCAACACCAACATATAGTCCTCCTATCAAACCACCACCCGTCCAAAAACCTCCAACACCTACATATAGTCCTCCCGTAAAACCACCACCAGTACAGAAGCCTCCAACACCGA